AGAAACGCCAAGATATGGAGGTGGCAATTCAAGCCGAGTGTGCACGAGAAAAGGAGTATTTGCGTAAAAAAGATATGCAGAAGATGGATTGGGAAACTATGGCGATGGATACAAGCCATATGTCCCCTGATACAAAACAATATTGGAAGCTAGAACGAAGGGATGTTATGAGAAGAAGACTTTTCCAGGATGATGGGCCTAGCAACACGGATTGGTTAAATGATCAAAACCATTAAATTAGTTGGCATACCTTTTATGTATTTTTATTTTTCATGTTTTCTATTAAAGTTGGTGTACTTCATGTATTTTATTTTAGTAGTAGTAATTCTTAATGACTTGTATTGGATTTCTTTATTTAATAAACAAAGCATTCAATAAAAGACCATTTTGTTCAACATATTCTATACATCAAACAAAACATAATTAAAATTAAAACAAAAACTACAAACAAGGCACAATAATAAATAAAAAAACAACACAACCAAACCATAAGCAATACTAAACAACACAACCAAAACATAAGGCCTAAAACATAACCAAAGCATCTATGCTCCATCATTCATCTTCATTCCCTTTCACCGTCCATAAATGCTCTATCAAGTCAAGTTGACGGCTTTCATGAATATAAGAAGATTGCATCTCTATATATCGATCTATCATCCGGGTCATCATACGATCGTCCCTCACCAACGGTTCCGGCTTCGATTATTAATAGTCTTAACACGTAGGAACCCGTAAATCTTATCCGAAAATATTATCCAAATTAATTATTGAGGTAAAAAAAGTTGTGAATAAAACAAAAAAATGATGGCCTTAGCAAGGGCAACGGGTGGAAACACAAAATTCTGATTTGCAAGGGCAACCACTATTCACGTGAATAGTAGCTGCCCTAGCTCCTCCCCTTGCCATGGCCAAGGGCAAATGGGTGGGGTTGCTCTGAGGGCAAAGTCTAAGGCAAGTCTAAGGTAATTACTATTCATTGTACTTTATTTCCTATTTTTTTATACTTTAAATCATTAATTTTAATAATCTTTTGTAATTAACTTTTCTGATAAGATTTTCACCCTCTAAAATTGTACCACGTATACCATGTCAGATACGATTTTCAGATATTAAAAAAAAATTATAATCTCATATTTCAGATAAGATTTTCACCCTCTAAAATTGTGCCACGTGTCCCATGTCATATATGATTTTCATATATTAAAAAAAAAATTATAATCTCATATCTCAGATAAGATTTTCACCCTCTAAAATTGTGCAACGTGTCCCATTTCAGATATTTTTAAAAAATTATAATCTTAGATTTCAGATAAGATTTTCATCCTCTAAAATTGTGTCACGTGTCATCTCTATCTTCTAAATCCCTCTATAAAATTACACTATCAACTCATACCTCTCACACCATCTCTTATATATTCCTTCATTTCTCAGATTTTAGAAAACACATTCTACTCTCAATGTCAAACTTGTCGAGGGTGTTGGAGAGGCAACAAAAACAAAGGGAAGAAATCCGGCGTAGACGTGCTCAAGAAGATCGAGACGCCAATGAAGAAGAGGAACAAATGCTTGCAGCAGCGGTGTGTATGATGGATCAATCAAGGCAACACCGTCGTCGTCGTGCCCCGAATGTGGATAGCCGTAGGGAGTCTCGGGGTAAGAATCTCTTGGAGGATTATTTTATCCCAAATTCGTTATATCTTGCTTCTAAGTTTCGAGAGATATATAGAATGCAGCCACATTTGTTCCAAAAAATCATGCATGATATTTGTAATTACGACACATACTTCATTCAAAAGCATGATGCTGTTGGAGCTTTGGGTCTTATCCCGGAGCAAAAACTTACAGCTGCTTTGCAGATGCTTGCTTATGGAGCATCTGCAGAGCAAGTGGATGAGATTGCAAGGATGGGAAAATCTACTATCCTAGAGTGCTTGGTGAGATTCTGTGATGTAGTGGAAAATTTGTACACGAGGGAGTACCTTCGCAAACCCACGTCGAGGGACCTGCAATGGCTTCTACAAAAAGGCGAGGCTAGAGGATTCCCAGGAATGATTGGAAGCATCGATTGCATGCATTGGCAGTGGAAGAATTGTCCTACTGCTTGGCAAGGAGAGTACGGGAATCGGAAGGGCCAAAAAAGTATAATTTTGGAGGCCGTAGCTTCATTCGACTATTGGATTTGGCATGCCTTCTTCGGGGTTGTCGGATCTCAGAATGACCTCAATGTCCTTGGTCAATCCCCGGTCTTCGACGAGGTATTGCGAGGTCATTCCCCCCAGGTCACGTACCAAATCAACAATACCGTATACTCTGGTGCGTACTACCTTGCCGACGGAATTTATCCTAGGTGGACGACATTTGTGAAAACAATTCCGAATCCCCAATCCGAGAAGGAAAGAAGCTTTGCTTCCTTTCAAGAAGGTTACAGGAAAGACGTGGAGAGGTGTTTCGGTATCTTGCAAGCTCGTTGGGCAATTATTAGAGGTGCTGCTCGGATGCTAGATGAGGAGGTGTTGCGGAGTATTATGATGACTTGCATCATCCTCCACAACATGATTGTGGATGATGAGTATGACTACGATGGTCCAGAGGTGTTTGAACCCGATCCCATGGACACGGAGTTGACAAGAATATATGAAAGGCCGATTGGACCAAATGGACTACCCCTGGAGCCCGAACCGTTACTTCGGGATGGTCAATTCAACAACCCCATGATTGATCGGTATGTTTGGAATTATGCTTTGTTTTTAATTATGCTTTATTTTGTGTGTGGTGTTTTTTGAAATTATGCTTTTTATTATTATTATGCTTTTATGTATGGTTTGTTTTGCGTGTTGTTTGCAATAAATGAAGGTTTTCTTTAATTAATATTTGTTTTGATGCTCAAATGTTTTGAATAAATAGTCATTTTATTTAATGCTTTTTTTATTGAATAAAAAGGAAACAATACAACAAATTAAAGGATAATACAACAATACACCATATGGCAAAGGTGTTTCAATACAACTTAATGGTTTTCATCATTTAACCAATCCATATTGCTAGATCCGTCGTCATGAAAAAGTTTTCTTCTCATCACATCTCTTCGTCGTAGCTTCCAATAAGCCTTTGTTTCGGGAGGCATATGGCTCGCACCTATGGCCCTGATTT